CAGCACAAGCTCCAAGTCTTTGTCTCCCTTCAACAGGAGTCCTTTGGCCACCAATCCAACCCTCATGACGCCACGCAGGACACGGTCTTCTGAATCAATACTTGGATGGTGAGAAGGACAAAAGATTAAAAATATGATTTAATTTAAAAATAAATGGGAATAAATTGCAGATTTAAAAGACAAATTGAATTTTGATTTACTTTTTAGTCACTGGGACAGCTGCCACGGCTCATTTGGACACATTTCTTACCTCTCAGTCTCCGTCTCTGTATCGTCTTTGTTTTCTTTTGAAGTGTCCATCTGGTCAGACACAGTCTTCAGAGCACTCTCCACACGGGAGACAATTTCCTGCACAGCCTCCAGCTCCTCAGGTGTGGGATACACATCGGAATGTTTGGCCATTACGTGGCGATCATATGGTCCCTTGCTCACCTGGGAGGGTGCAGCCTCCTTCATTGGGGAAAAAAAACAGTCATAATATTGGTTTCGCAGTTTAGTTTTAAAACTACGATTATATTTTCCCTGAAATAACGTCTTCCTCTCTGCTACAGCAGTTGTCTTTCAACTGGCATGTTCTGTTTTTAGAGCAGCAAAGAGAAAGTGAATTGGTAGTGTCAGCATAAGCCAGAGTGAGCTCAAGTAATTTGGAAAAATTCACACTGGAAAGTCCCACAAGTAAAATGGCCATGTGTGCTTTATGCAAGACTTTGGTTAGAGGGGTGGCCTGTATTTTTCTAAATGTATCTACTTGTTCTCTTTTTAAGTCAAATCCATAAAGGGTTAATAATATACAGCTGTTAAAATACATTCTAGAAGTATTTTTTTTCAGATGCACAGGTTTTGGAATCGTACACGATGAGCAAAGTCCAGGTACTTCTGTCTCTTTATGTGCATGTAAGTGGCACTATGTATTTATATAAGACCCGCCCTACTCCACCTGTGTATATGTATAGAACCACGCCCATGTACTTTTTAAGCATCATCATAAACTTCAAACATTTTGCAGTGCCTGTTCAACCTGTCACAGGCCAGACCTGAAATCATCAGCTGAGGAAACCACTTTACCATGAGTCTCCCCTTTCCCCAGTGGGATATTTAATACTGACCTAATATCTTCAGCAGATATGGCCTCATCTGACTTTGAGATGAGCCACATGCTACAAGATAGAGAAGGCCCACAATACCTCCCACAAACAATGGCTTGCCCAATTTCCGTGACTCAGATATAATACAAAAAAAAGGTAACGTATATAATGTATTACAGCGGAGCCAAAAGGCACAGTGAAATTTTTTGCATGCGTGTTTATTATGTGCCGGTTTAACTAAATGAAAATGTTAAGCAAACCCTTGCAACCAATGAAAACATTGGCCGTGGTTACGAAAAAGCACAAAACACACAAAAAACTTGGAAAAAGAACCCTTTCTGTGCAGGTTGAAGAGCAACCTTTTTAAAGGCACAGAAAGGAAATAAAATGGTGCATGAAAACATTTGATGTTGAGTCTTAGGCTCAATCCCATTCATTCCTTCTCCCTGCCCCTTGTTTTCAAGAGTTATCTTGCCCCTTGAAACGGTGTTACAATGGGTAGTGGTGGAAAACTTCCCCTACGAATTGGAAAAGTACTATGTTGGTATGTATGATATTACAATCATTATCATAGTTTTTAAATTCGTATTACTTATGGAGAAAATACTAGTACTACTACTACTATGTTTCAGTATAGACCCAACACTTGCCCCTACCCATCCATCCCAACAAGAATCGGGACAACCTACCCCTAACGTGCAAAACAAAGGGGTAGGGAGAAGGGTTTAAATGGGATTGAACCAAGTCAAATAAAACAAGAGCCCATGGATGATCAATTCTTAATCGATTTAGCAGGTTAGAGAAGAACCTCATAATGCCGTTGATCCTCAATCTCCTCGACAGCAGCGATGTAGTCATGATACTGTCTGAGCTCCTCCTCGTAGCACAAGCAGTCATACCAGTAACGCAGCTCCTCATATCTGGAAGAATGAGAATTGGAAGAATGAAATGAGGACAACATTGAAGAGAAGCTTAAAGGGATAGTTTATATTTCAAATTCGACAAGAAAAGGCGTCATTAAGCCTAAATGTCTGTTGCGGGAAGTAGGAAGAGAGGAAGAGATCAGAGGACATTTGGTGTAAATGAAGCCATTTTGAGTCAAATTCGAATGTCCGGCCTTACAGATACTTGGATGACATCGCAGGAGCAGTATGGAGGCATTTTTTCTTCTGTTGTTCTTTAACATTTGAAGAATCAGTCACCAGTTATTTCAATTGTATTGGATTTGACTGCAACGCTGTTTTAATTTGAAAAGTGTTTTCTGGACTCAAACACTTCACCCATCCCTCCAATCGGCATAGTGTTAGTAGATCGGGTGGATTATAATTTTTCAGTGAACCATCCCTTGTTTTGTAGACAATAACTTGTACTACACCAGTCAATATAAGCACAATTGGGTGTTTGGTGGCAAATGCTGTGACATGTCAGAACAGTTATTTAAAATACGGTGAGGCCTTATCTGATTTATTATATAATCCTGTATTTAATTAAACAGGCTGTAACAGTAAGTGATTACAGTACGAAAAAGGAAAACGCAGCATTAACAGGTCAGCTCACTCACTGGAAAACAGACCTTAATGTAAAAAAAACAGTATTTGATGAGAGACCTGCTGCACATTTTGTATATAACAAAGAATGGATGAAATGCACAATAACACAACCTTGTATACACAACATCACTTCTACTTTAATGTATATATTTCTATTCTTATTCATGCTATAATTCCACTTGTGCTGATACGTTATTGTGCTGCTGTCATTTGAGAATTTCTTCTACAGAGAATTAATAATAATCATCTTATGTCTGCTGTAACCCCTGCAGATCACTAGATGTCGCTGTGTTGTGTTTCATTACAGGTTTGACTGTGTGTGTGTGTGTATATATATATATACACACACATTTCTGTCAGAGTGATTTGCTCTCATATATAAATGCCTGTGTGGCTGTGTGGTGTTCCGGTGTGTCTGTTTATATACCTATCAAAATCATGCGGGAGAAGCCGGTGTCCCTCCTGGATCAGTCCGTCCCAGTACAGAAGCTCCTCGTACGCCTGGTGCTCATCCCACAATGGCGATACAATGGCCGCCATGCTGTCACGACTGTGGGCCCGAAGCTAGCGCCTGTTTCAGCAGCAAAAGCATCTGTCAGACCAGTGAGCGACGGACAGGAAACCGAAACAAGATGGAAACAGCAGATAAAGCGTGTCCACTGCCCCCCGCCCCCCCCCCCTCTGTGTGAAGACAGCTGCGGTGAGCAGCGACAGCTCGTTAGCTAATGTTTACAGAGCCGAGCGACCACTGGTGTTAGAGAGCGAGCTGATGTTAGCGCGGTGCTAACACAGAACACAGCTGGGTGTCAGCTTGGTTAGCGCGGGGAGGACTTACCTGTGAAGAAGAGCCAGTACGAGGTGGACACCTTTCTATTTACCACCCTGCTTCGTCTTCTTCTTCTTCTACTACTGCTACAGCGACTCACTCTGCTTCTTCTTCGCCACCTCTTTCCTCCCACGGGTAACATCCAGCTTATTGGCGCATTACCGCCACCTTCTGCTCCGGACGGGTGAACTAGGGATTTACAAGCTTTTCTCAGCCAAGGACCAGGACTACACCCCCCCCATGTTCCGCAGAACCTATTCTAACACTTCTTTCTAAATCTGTGAAAGAACACGAGATGTGTCTTGGATTGAGAGTAAAACAGTTCCCACCAGGTCAACACAGACTAATCATACATCATGATCATTTTCAAAGGTTCAGTGTGTAAGATTTAGGTGAATGGCTGTATTTGCATCCTAGTAATGTTTTCACTTGTGTGTTTCATCTAATTGTACAAATTGCTGTTTTCTTTAACAGTAGAATGGGCCCTTTATATTTAAATACTTTATACTGACATCAGGAGCAGGTCCTCTCTATCGAGGCCGCCATGATTTTTACAGTAGCTCAAACTGGATGGACTAAACTACTTTTGAGTTTTTATAACAACTGAAGGCTACCACAGGTTCTCTGTCATATTTGGAAGGGGAGGGGTATTCAGCTGCAACATGCAACTTCACCACTAGATGTCACTCAATTCTACACACTGAACCTTTAATGAATTAATCTAGAAACCTTCTGCAGACCCCCTGCAAAGGACCCCAGAGGTCAGAGGACCCCCTCATTGGAGAACCTCCATGCTTCACACATTTTGTTTCTTATCTGATATATCAGGGCACTATGTGAGGTGTAGAAAGTTCACCTTTCAGGTGGAATTCAAAAGCCCACCTAAGACCTTTATGTACTCTGCTGGAGATTATAGTTGTAGTTATAGCCTATTTGTAAATTTTATTAATTTATGATTATTCTTTTCATTTTTACATATTTAAAAAGCAACATCAGCGGCTGGCAGGGAAACGGATAAGGCTGAAAAATGGGAATAATCATATTTAAATTACACGGTACCTCATCAAAAGACACTTCATAGAAACAGACTGCTTGACAGGACAATTGCCCCTGCAAGAAAGCAGACCACCCTCTTGATCTAATAGCTTATTTTCTGCATGGCCTTTTGGGGGATAATCATAGTCATCTGTGTAAAGTGAGGCCAAGGATGACTCTGCAGAAAATCCCACAATCCTCAGAGGAAATCCTGATCGTCACGCACAGCAAGAAGTACAGATTTATCAATACTTTTGGGAAACAAAGAAGAGTTCCTAGGATCATAGTTTACACTGAAAGCATGGTGTAGAATAATTATCTGTATAACTTTACCACACCACTGTATGCAGTGTGGTACATTTATTAACCATGCAAAATATCCTCCTTCTTGACATGGACCTATTTGATAGGAAAATAAAAATAAATTCTGGTTATATGTACACATCACATTAAATTGTTTTATTTACATCTCCTCAGTAAATTGAGGGTCGATTTCAAGTATCAACTTATAAAATTATAAAACTGTATAAACACATGGAAAGCATATTCAGACATTCATAAACTCCACAGTATATGAATATTAACATTCCTCTATGCAGTACATTCAGCAGAATACTTAAAATGACACTTTTAATACTGGTGAAAAGCTGGTGACAATGAGGTTGAGATAATATTCAGTCCCTTTTTTAAATAGCACTCCTGCAGCCGTCTGCAGCGTGGTTAATACTGCCTACATCTTGTCGTTATGAGTTTCCTAATGGGAATATAATAGCAATAAGGAATGTTTACTTATTATAAGTAAACTGTACAAAGTTTATGATATTTTGTGCAAAATCACAGCATTAGCTAGCTTCCATTCGTAAGATCAGACGTTGAACTGACAGATAAACTTTGATGGAGTATGATGGAGAAAGTTTGAATCCATAAAACATTTCCTTTTGTGGATCATCTAAGAAATGTCAAATTTAACATTTAACAGGTCTGTTCCACCATCCCAGCCACAGAGTGGGTTCTTTTCAACTCCGTCTAATTGTCTTATCATGTCAAGTTCTTCATGTGTTCAATAACGTGGTGAGAACACACAACCACGGAGTATTAATATCAGTCCTCCTCTCAGCTTACACATGGTTGACGTCCTTCTTGTCTGAGCTGGGGAAAGACGTGGGCTCCCAGCGGCCCAACATGCTGCTGCTCCTCAGGCCCACTTGGCATTTAGCGATGAGGTAGATTTTGCGGAGGACGGTGCGGCGTAGCAGGATGTAGACCCAGGGGTCGAGGATCTGGTTCCACGTGGCCAGCCTCACGCCCATCACCATCAGGGTTTTGTAGTTGGACAGGTTGTCCCCGATGGATCCCGTGTAGGAGTGGATCACAGACATCAGGCCAAAGATCTGCAGGCAAGGAACACATGCTTATTATTGTATATTATTATTATAATAATATACAATATATTATATTGTAATATATTTTATGGTGAAAACGCTGCTGTGAGAGTAAAACTAGGATTCATCAAAAGTGACAACTTTGCGGTGCTCACAACAACAGAGTAGTCATCCCCACGCAACT